TACTCCAGGTGGAGGTGTCTCGTCCTCGGTCACATCCAGACCTTGAAAATAAGGCTGCAACCGGTCCCATTCCTTGCAACAGAGGCATTCCTCTTCTGTGGGCACTGGGGCACAGCATTCACAGGTACACCACCAATCTCCAGAGCTACGCAGCCTTGCAGCAGCCATTCCTCCTCTCTCGTCCTCTACCTGTTGCGCCTCTCTCTCTCTCCTCCTCCGTTCTTCAATTTCACGAAGCTCTTCGTCAGTGTATTCTGGCTCAAATAAATAAGGGCGGCCATCAAACTCTGCAAAATCAAATTCCTCCTCCACAAAGTCGAAGTCTGGCAAAAAGTCAGCCATTATTCTATAAATCTTTCATAAAATAAATGAATGAACTTTTAGGCTACTGTCCGGTTCTGGCTTCCAGCTGTTGCTGCTTGTTCAGGCACGGTATGAGATTGCTGCTTGTTCTCGCGAGATTTCGGCCGCGCTTTGGAAAGCAGAGCTAGATGGTAAACAAACATGGCAGCACACCGGTAAGGTAAGACAACACGTTTACATGTCGTTTTCTATATGTTCTCTGACATTTATTCTAACGATATGAGGCGGTCTTTGTGGAGAAAAAGATTGTTTAGTGGACTAACTTTGCACTTGAAGGTTGCCCGTTCACTTACATTTTAACAGGTCTGACGCTACTATGCGCCTCGGCTGTATCTAGGCTAACGGCTAACATGCTAACTATTATTTTTATGTCACTAGTCACTTGAAACAAATTTAGGACGATAGGAGACAGGTTGAAATAAACCAAAATTCCCCGTTAAATACATCGCGACTGGAGGACGGAGAATTCTTTTCTCTAGTACTGCCGATGAGAGAAATTGAATTGTTATTTCTTCTTCGTGTCTCACTAGAGCTACGTATCGGGTAGTGACAGCAACACTGCCCCCATGGTTCCTGGTGGTACTGCTCTGTTTGGCCCGTATCCGTAAGCTTTATGGAAATGTGCAGAAATACGGACAAAATGAACGCAGAGCACGGACAGAAGGCTGCGTCCGTATCCGGATCCGTATTTAATGTTGAGCATAAATGGGCTTTAAGACATCTTTTTTTTTTTCTCCTATAATGTCCTTCTGTCCCCCTGTCCTCGTGTCCTCTGTCCTCTGTCCTCCTGTCCTTCTGTCCCCCTGTCCTCTTGTCCTCTTGTCCTCTGTCCTCTGTCCTCCTGTCCTATGTCCCTCTGTCCTCCTGTCCTTCTGTCCCCCTGTCCTCTGTCCTCCTGTCCTATGTCCCTCTGTCCTCCTGTCCTTCTGTCCCTCTGTCCTCTTGTCCCCCTGTCCTCTGTCCTTCTGTCCCCCTGTCCTCTGTCCCCTGTCCTCCTGTCCTCTCTGTCTTCCTGTCCTCTTGTTCTCCTGTCCTCTGTCCTTCTGTTCCCTGTCCTCTGTCCCTTGTCCTTCTGTCCTCCTCTCATCTGTCCCCCTGTCCCTCTGTCCTCCTGTCCCCCTGTCCTCCTTTCCTCTGTCCCCCTGTCCTCTTGTCCTCATGTCCCCCGTCCCTGTCGTTCTGTCCTCTTGTCCCCTGTCCCCCGTCCTTTGTCCCCCTGTCCTTCTGTCCTCTGTCCCCCTGTCCTTCTGTCCTCTGTCCCCTTGTCCTCTTGTCCTCATGTCCCCATTCTCTGTCCCCTGTCGTTCTGTCCTCTGTCCCCTGTCGTTCTGTCCTCTGTCCCCTTGTCCTCCTGTCCTCATGTCCCCCATCCTCTGTCCCCCTGTCCTCTGTCCCCTGTCCTTCTGTCCCCTTGTCCTCTTGTCCTCCTGTCCTCATGTCCCCCATTCTCTGTCCCCCTGTTCTCTGTCCCCTGTCGTTCTGTCCTCTGTCGTTCTGTCCTCTGTCCCCTTGTCCTCCTGTCCTCATGTCCCCCATCCTCTGTCCCCCTGTCCTCTGTCCCCTGTCCTTCTGTCCCCTTGTCCTCTTGTCCTCCTGTCCTCATGTCCCCCATCCTCTGTTCCCCTGTCCTCTGTCCCCTGTCCTTCTGTCCTCTGTCCCCTTGTCCTCATGTCCCCCATCCTTTGTCCCCCTGTCCTTCTGTCCTCTCCCAGTCACACCTCTGCTGTCCACACTAACCTACTTTCTGAGGTGCTTCTGTCAGTTTGACTTTTATTTTGAAGGTGTGAAACGGAAGTTGATGTTGTTGGTTGTGTCTCAGCTGCAGCTGTTGAACAGGGAGGAGAGGAGGACCGCAGCTGTGGAGACATGGCAGCCAGTGAAGACCCCAGTAAGTACAACTGGTTTCTAACTTTCAGGTCCTCACACTGTACAGTTTCATTATGACGTCAGTAAAGTCACCTTACAGACACATCTGTATCAGAGACACATCTGTCTCTGTCAGTTACAGAGAGGGTCAAATAAATGAATCTCTGTTTTTAGTTACTTTCACTTTCAGTGCAGAGAAAATGGCGGCTGAATGTTTCCTGGCGTAGAAACTTTACCCAGGTGGTGAATCAGCTGCTCCCACTCCCACAGACGCAAAAACACCCTTCAGTCAGTCTGCATATAGAGATCTGTGCCAGTTAGAAACACAGCAGAGAAGAAGAAGCAGCAGCTTTACACACTGTCTCACACGGAGAGGCTCTCCAACAGGACAGCGCTCAGTACACACGACCGTTACGCACAGCTGTTCATCACCTGTTCCTCTGAACCATCATCACACTGATGTTTGAATCATCATTATTAACCCTCAGATTATTGATTATTGGTTTAAAGCTCTGGTATTAAAACAAACAGCTACAGGACTCAGGATAAAATCAGAAGAATCAGAGAAATAATGGATCAGTGTCAGTTAATGTAAAAGAATGATAATAATAATTACTCAGGCTGAGTCTAATTAAGTTTATAAACGAGCCTGCAGGTGATATTTAACTGTAAAACAAGACCATGATCACTGACATCAACAAGGTTTAACTCTAATTCTCTGACTGTGTATTTCACATCCACCTCTTGTGATTTCTGCTGCACAGACACAGAGGTCTGAGGAGTCATCAGGAACCACTGTTTACTCTGTTTACACTGTTTGTTTACTCTGTTTACATTGTTAACTTGTGTTCTCTTACAGTGTAACGTCAGTCGTTGTAAATATGAATGAAACTGTGTCTGTGATGTCACCAGTCAGAACTGAAGTGGTAATGAGGTCTGAAAATGAAAAGTTTATAAAAGTTTTACCTTCAGGTTTCCTGTATGAAGCCTCCTCTGTCTGTGTCTTCCAAATTTACCAAACAGACCAAACATGTACCCTGTCTGTCTGAAATCTGACATCTTTAATCTGTAATATAACTGACAAAGCTATTCACTGTCACTGACACTTTTCTCTTTAAACTCACAACAACACTATCTCAACACTGTCACAACAACACTGTCATCAACACTGTCACAACAACACTGTCATAACAACACTGTCACAACACTGTCACAACACTGTCATAACAACACTGTCATAACAACACTGTCACAACAACACTGTCACAACACTGTCACAACAGTCACAACAACACTGTCACAACAACACTGTCACAACACTGTGACAACACTGTCATCAACAACACTGTCATCAACACTGTCACAACACTGTCATCAACAACACTGTCATAACAACACTGTCACAACAACACTGTCATCAACACTGTCATAACAACACTGTCACAACAACACTGTCATAACACTGTCACAACACTGTCACAACAACACTGTCATCAACACTGTCACAACACTGTCACAACAACACTGTCATAACAACACTGTCATCAGCATTGTCACAACAACACTGTCACAACACTGTCACAACAACACTGTCATAACAACACTGTCATCAGCATTGTCACAACAACACTGTCACAACACTGCACCTCCTGATGACAGTCAGGTAAGAGACTACATCACTTTGGAAACATTGATTTGACCCTTATGACATGTACAGATGTAATGTATCTGTGACTGAGGGAACATTTTCAATGTAGGACGTTAACTGTAACAGAGTCTTGTTACTGTGCGGTGTTAGTATCTGAACACTTGCTCAGGTGGTTCTGGTAAAGAGCTGTGTTTCTAGATGAAGCTATCAGCCACCAACAGGTCCTCACATAAGTGGTTCCACTGGTTCCACTGGTCCTAGTATATGTGGACCGTGGGGCTGGTTGTTCTCTGTTTCTAGTGTTTGTTTTGCTGTATGATGATGATGATTATAAGATGATTATAATGATGATGATGTTGAAGATGATGATGTAGTATCATAAGCACATCTCTCTCTCCCTCTGTCAACAGAAAGATGTAGAAGACGCAGTATGGATGAACCTCCATCAGGTGTGAAAGCCTCCATCAGTCCCTCTGCTCAGAGACAAACTGCACCTTCATCACGTTATTTATTTGGCTCATAATAATGTGGCTCTGAACTCTACATATGAGCCTCAGCGGCTGCTGCTTGTGTCATTTCCTTGTGTCTCAGTCCTCCTAATGAGGCTGCATGAAATCAGCTGCACATCAACGTCACATCTGTGTGAACCTTCTGTCTCTGTTTTCCAGTCAGGATGGTCCTCACTGGGAGAACTGGAGCAGGAAAAAGCTCCAGTGGAAACACCATACTGGGAAGAGACGCCTTCAGTGCAGCCATCAGTCACTTCTCAGGTAACACACACACACACACACACACACACACACACTGTTGGTCACCTGTCAGGTAACACACACACACGCACGCACGCACGCACGCACGCACGCACACACACACACACACACACTGTCAGTCACCTGTCAGGTAACATACACACACACACACACACACACACACACTGTCAGTCACCTGTCAGGTAACATACACACACACGCACACACACACACACACACACACACTGTCAGTCACTATTCAGGTAACACACACATCCTTGTCTTTGTCACATTGTAAGGAACCAAGACCAGACCATGCATCGTGGGGTTCACCCTTTTTTGAAGGTTATACAGCACTGAAAAAAAATCAGGCAGGATCCTGGAGTGGATATAAACACAGATGTCACTTCAAATTATCAATCAGACAAAGTTCCCTCATCTGACTAGAACCAGCCTCCTGGGGACTTGTCAGGTTTTTAGTGACAAGTGGGGTCAATATATACACACTGTCAGGTATCTAGATATAAGTGGGGTCAATATACACACTGTCTGGTTTTTCTTCATTCCTGAGTACCATTTAACACACATTCAGGTTAAACACCTTTGACTGTCAAGTTTCACTGTCTTGTCATTATGACTTGAGCAATAAAAACTTCTCATTATAGATTAGAGCTTTCTTGTCAGTCAGTGGGGATATTATTTATGATTAGAGCTTGCTATCATATGAAACCTTGTATTAAGGACACGCAAAAGGTATTACAATATTAAGTCAATATTATCACAGGACAAAAGTCCCAAGACTAAGTAACAACATCAGACTGATGCAAGAATCATGAATAAAAACAGACCAAGGTTCTTCCAACTATCTCTACACCTGGTGCTGTATTACCAGTGCAATCCTGTATTTTCATTTTGTTGGCTGAATATAACAGATGTTGCTCCACATGAGACTTAGGTTGTTGGATGAATTTTAAACACACAAGAGATGAGACAGTGATGATCAAATAAGAAGAGAGGAGATAAAAGTAGATATGGTTGGTTTGGAGGTATGGTTTAGGGCATTCATAACTACAGCATTTTTGTAGTGACGGACTACTCCAAAAAGTAATTGACTGCCCAACACCTTTTAGCCAACATGACCTTTTTCACCCAATAACAATGATAAACTGCAGGACCAACCTGCAGGTAGGTAATGGTGTCCTTGATTGGCTGTAAGAGTCTTAAATGAGCTGTGATCTGACTGGACTAAACCTCCAGCAAGCTTATCTGAGCTGGAGATAATGTGGCAGCTTTTTTGAAGGGATAATAGAATAAATTCTGTTAAAACCACAAATGAACAACCAATGCAAGGACTCATAGAGTCAAGTAGTGATTTTGATCGTTGACTGTTCTGTCAAACTCCTTGTGAGGTTACAGGAGATGACATGAGGCAGGACAAGATGAGGTGAAACTATATAAGTTGTAAGATATCTCCAGAACAGGAGACTGGGTGAGGTAAGAGAGATATATTAGTGCTAGTTTCAAAACTTTCAAACAATACCAAGCCCTACGGCCTTTACAAAAAAAAAAAGAGCATCCTATTGTTAGGGGTGTAACGACACATCGATCCACATCGATTCATTGATTAAAGAAGCTATATGTAAGAAATCTAAAGCAAACAGTCGTAAAATCCTCCTAATATGTCACAGAGACTAAGGAATAATGTTCATATAACATACTGATCTCACCGACAACAATAGTACAGCCAGAATATTTGCATTTAAAAAACATTTTTACGGTCCGCAAATCATGTTTATGTTTTGAATTTGTGTTTTGGCCTGTTGCGCCACCCACCGCCATCTACCAGTCACGCAGTCAGTAGAGTCTCAGCATCAGTTACAGTTACGACTGAGCTACAGCAGCACGGCAAGCAGCATTAGCAGTGTCCCGGTACATAACATTAGCAGCCGGCTCCTCCTCAGCTGTATCCCGCAGTGACGCGGCCCTGCCACGGCAGCCGCTCGTGGGCAAACAAATCAGTCTCCAGCATGCCGCTGTCCAGCAACCTCGAATCTGTAGGGGAGGGGGGGCGGCGGACACGACCCGCGGCAGTATTTTGAATTTGAGTGCAGTAACCGTTTTGGCCACATTCTTACATACAGCGCCTTTAACGATCCGATTACATCGATGCAAAATGAAAACATTGATCCATATCATAATCTTAAAGATACACCTTTATTTTGAAATTCACATAGCACATCTTGCACCATTTCTGGGCAAGCGCGCCTCCGCTCAAACAACAAACAGAGCTCAGAAATAAAATGGTCAAATAATATAATATCGCATCATATCGATCGCAGGCTGCTGAATCATATCGAATCGAAATCATATCGTGACAGACTTT